AGTGACAATTCTCTTAATTTGATAATAATGAAGAATAATTTAAAGATATTACAATACTTTCATAAGAAGACCTTTTTTTGTGTTGACATCATCACAATCATCATTTTTCACTTTGTAACGTGAAATTTTACACCTTGAACAATTACGGAATGCTTCAAACCCTTTTTAATATAATATATAATCATTAGGACAAACATGTATTTTTTTATACTCCAAACTCATTGAATACAAGATTTTCTTGTCTTCATAGTGATGGGTGGGTAATGTATTTCTTTTTTGTAACAATTTATTCAACAATTTAAGTAATTCAATAAAGCTTTTATAATCCTATCAATTTCTTGCCTTAATATTTATTAATCGTAATATTGCTGATAAACGTGTAAAATGTATACAACCTGAATATAAAGGTATCTCTCGAATCAGTTTTCATACACATGGGCTTGCTAAAAAGATTTTTGTCTGACCCCATAAATCATATCCTATAGTTGATCATCGACATTCATATCTAAATATTAATACTTGGACATGCTTGAAATGTTTAGTAATTCACATACAAAATTCAGGTTATATAACTTTATAAGAAACCATCACAGAGTAAATGCTCACATATCAATTTAATTTGTAGTCGTCTCTCGTTCAAATAATTAATACATGGACAAAAAATTCTTCCATTCTTATATGTAACTTGTGACCGTTCAACAAATTTTATAAATTCTTTAACGCCATTTAGAATAATGACATTTATAATAATTGTAAATTAATCCCTAATTCTCTAAATCAAAATTAAATCCTTAATCTCTAATTATACACAAAATCTAAAATTGCAATTCAACAACACTTATCACATTGTTAACAACCACAAAGTAAATAGAGATGAAAATAGTGTGTACAGTACCTCTAACACGGTGGTGGGCACGACGTAGTGACGTTTTGGGCAAAGGGTGGCAAACACAGTGGTGGGCACGGGGTAGCGACGTAAAAGATGTGGCAAACACAATGGTAGGTGGTAATTTAGTGGCACGGTGGTGGGCGGCACAGTGATACAGCAAATGTGGCACGGTGGTGGCGATGTAGATGTCGAACAATGCTCCTAAATGGTGGTCCCAAATAGTGTTGGGTGTGACATGGTGGTGGGTGCTTAACTACAGTAAATTGAGCAGCAAAAATGGTGGTGACACGATGACAAACGGTGGTGACACATGGCGATCAGTGGTGCAGCAGGTTGTTGGCAAACAGTGGTCACACAATGCAGTGAGGGTTGAGAATGGAGTGAATGAGGAAAGGGTTGAAAATTTGTTAAGAAGAAATATTACATCGGATCTCCCTTGAACTGATGCAGTATCTTCTTTTATATTTTCGAATATGTCATTGTACCTTGTATTACATCGGTTTTAATACAATCATTGTCATATCTTATTGTAAGATGTCTCTATACTAGTGGTGTCATGAATATTTACAAGAATTTATTTAGGTAAGAAAATCTAAATATAAATGCAATAAAAATTAATTCTCATTTAAATTACCCAAAATATCCATTTTACATGTTTAAAGTGGATAGTTTTCATAAAAAAAGTTGTTAGCATATTCAACTAACTATTCTGGCGTGAGATACAGAGGGAAAAGTCCTCGTTATAGCCGTGAATCTCTCCCATGAATAACAAGTGAATATTCTATCAGAATCATGGTAAAAGAAATGAACTAAGAAGCGTATATCACTACAGGTTTTCTCCCTTCCTTGATAGATGTAATAAATTATATAATATCTGTTTTTAGTCTTCAGAAAATATATAAAGTATGTTATATTACTACTTGGAAAAATTTTGTCTTTGTTAAATTCGTGTAAATTGAAAACATACTTTTTTTTATGTTAAAAGTACGCTCCATACATTCGTCTTCCCCAATGTTAAAAACCCTACTTCCAATTCACCCTTGATTTAAATCATCCTTTTGGTCTCACACGTGTAAGTTTATTTTAATTTCATTCACTCTCTGCTTTGTTATCTTTCTTAATTACAATGAACGTAGAGATGCATGTTTAGATTATTAATGTTATATTATGTATTATGCGCATAATTATGTGTTAGATGAATTGTTTATATTAAGTATTGGAATGGGAAACACATGGAAATAGAGAAAACCACTTTGTTCTAGCCTTTGTCGTTCAAGCAAAGTGTGTCCCTTGGGCGAGAGGCCAAATGGTGGAAAAGTTGGGTTTAAATGGTGTGTTGCAAATAATATTTTATTATCTTTTATTTAAATAATGTATTAAGAGATTTGTATTATTTTTTAAAATAAAATAAAAATATATTAGATTATTATATATCTTGATTTAAGTAGTTATGATTGAAATATTGTTAATATTTGATATTTTATCATATTTTTATTCTATATATAGAGTATATGAGTACATGAATAAAAAGAGGGAGACATACTCATGAGACATATTTCATATATCAAGAAATACACTTATACAACAAAATCCTAAAAATTTTTGGAGAAATAAATTTTTCACAAGTCATTATTTCAATTTTCAATGATGAAAATTACAATTTATGGATTGTGAGAATGTAATCCTATTTTAAAATATTAGATTTATGGGAAATGGTAGAAGATGATTACATCGTTGATGACCTAAAAATTCCACTATAGCTCAAATCAAAATCCATAAGGAGAGAAATGAGGAAGGCAAAAACAAAATTATGTTTGTATGCAGTAATTTCACAAATGATTCTCACCGTAATCATGACTCTAAAGTCATCAAAAGAAATTTGAGATTATTTACAAGAAGAATATGAAATACCTAACAAAGAAAGACAAAAAAGCTTTGACTGAGAAAACCCAACAACTAATTAGGGTAACATAATTTTTAGGAAATGTTATAACACATACGCCTTGAGAAGGAAAAGATCACAAAACTTTTGAAGGAAAAAGACAAGACTCTTAAAGCAAAATGATGAAGAGTTTGAAAAATGTGATAGTGCAATTGAGAAGCTTAAGATGGAGATGAAAAAACTAAAAAAACTGAAGGAGTTTAAGCCTACAATGAATTTGTTTGTGTTAAAAAACAATAAAACAAAGATAGTCAAGAAGAATGAGTGCTCTAAGAAAAAAATGTTTTCTTCACATTACATTTTGTAGATGAAAGATCAATTGAAAATCAAGAAACCAAATTCCAACATGTTAAATATTGTGAATATTGTTTTATTATATTTTATTTAAATTATGTATTAAAATATTTTTATTAATTTTTAAAATAAGAGAAAAATATATTAGGTTATTATTTTAATTTAAGTAATTATAATTAAAATATTATTAATATTTGATATTTTATCATATTTTTACTCCCTATATTAGTAAATAAATAAAAAGAGGGAGACATACATACAGGAGACATATTTCATATATCAAAAAATACACATGCACCAAAAATTCTAAAACTTTCTATCAAAGTCATGGTTTGTATAAGTAAGAATTTCTTATGGATAACTCCAATAAAATAAAATAAGGTATTAATAAAGAGGAATCAATGATATTACTAATAACCTTATATTGCAATTACGATTAATGAAGTTCTTATTAGGTCAAGGATGTAGGTATGGAAATCAGAATGTTATCTGTAATTAAAGAGTATATGTTTCAACATGACTAATAAATGTTAGTCTTTAACTTTAGAACATAATACTATTTTTCTAAAAAATGTATAGTCGAGTTTAATCTTATGTAATAGAAGAAAAATACATTTGTTAATTACAAATGTATTGTGTTTTGGATGGATAACTACTAATTTGGTAATTTAACTTAGCCTATGTTTTTTTTTTCTATGGACTTGACTCTCATGATTCGTTTGATTACATGAGAATATACGATGTTGAAGATGAGTAGTTTATACCTAAACAATAGAATTAGTTCTATTATGTACATTATTTTATTTCAGTCAATGTAAGTTTATTCTCCGATACAATAGACAGTGATGGTAACAATTTTTGGGTCGTCGCAATGAAGATTATTTGTGTGATGTCTGCATGGATTAAAATATTTTATTTAAATAAGAAAATTAAATTTAAATAAATTTAAATTGTATTATCCAAATAAAATATTTAAAAATAAAATTTAAATAAAAAAGTAAAATCCAATATATTTTTGTATCTAGAATTCAATACATAAGTGCATTAAAAATAAATTTAAATTGTATTATCCAAATAAAATATTTAAAAAGAAAATTTAAATAAAAAAATAAAATCCAATATATTTTTGTATCTAGAATTCAATATATAATAAGTACGTTAAAAGTCTTAAAGGTTTAAGTTTAATATTATCTCTTATTTTCTTATATGATTTACTCTTATCAATTTTGTATCTATTTTTTCAAAAATAAAAGTATCATAATTTAAAGAAAAAACAGTTATTATAATTTACATATTTAAAAAATAGTAAAAATATGAGAGAATAAAATATGATATGTAATTATCGGAAAAAAAGTTGGTACATTTAAATAGTAGATAAAAAAATTAAAAAAAAACATTTTATAAAAAATAATTATAAAATAATTATAGTAGATATGAAAATGCTTTAACGTATATACTTCCACTTTTTTTTTTTATTATTGTTATTACACCAAACAACGAGATTGATGATAAATAAGGAAAGATGAGATTAAATTGGGTTTCATTCAATTCATACAAAGGGACGAGGCTATGGTGCTATTCTAATAATATAGCACACATATTGTGCAGATAGACAACAAAGCAAAACACGTTTAAAAGGAAAATAACCAAAAGCAACTGTATTATTTCTTGATACCGTACTAATAATGTAAAAAAGGGGGAAAAATTACTCCAAAAAAAAAAAAAAAAAAAAAACTAGAAAGGAATTACAATGATAAACTGAAGGACAGGCAAGAAGGCATTATGCCAGGAATGAGAAACAGGTTATATAAACATGAATTTCTGAACTATAAACCACTACTCAACAGACACAATGAGAAACAGAGTAAAAACTTACTAGAAGTCACACCTTACAATTTTCTTTTTGAATTTATGGGGGGCATTTTTCTTTGATTCACCATATTTCAGATAGACAGCTGTGTTCTTGACCACCAATCCATGAGCAAGAGTCACAAAAATCTCCACCTTGTCCCCAGATTTTAAATTTGATATTATGCCCTCCCAATCTATGTCATTAAAGCAAATTACTGTCCCATGCTTGTGTACCTGGAATGTGCACTTTGTGTAGTTAACAATTAAGACACTTGTAAGACATTCAGTTGCCATGTTTTCAGGGGTTGATAAATAAACAACACACAAAGCCATTCCCTTCAAGTCACAGTCCTGAGGCAGAGTGAAACAAACTGAATGTCCCTCACCCACATGAGCCAACAAATGAGGATCACCTGGAAGACAAACATCAGAAGACTCACTCCTTGCCAATCCCTGTCCCATGTGATAAAAGGCTTAGTCATGTATGTAATTTTGCTATTCAAATAATCACTATTTTATCATTCCATATTTGGTACCAGCCTTTTGAAAAAGCAGTCAAAGAAGCCTATAAATATAAGCAGCGATATAACCCCTGTGAATACAGGTATTCTAATAAAATAGTCGTTCCATCTAATCAATTGAACTTGTACACTGTTCCATAAAACTTTCTCCATGTCAATAATCTAATATTTCTCATCTATTCAACGTTTCTCCAAAACTCAACCTTCACTACGCGACAATTCCCTTTATTTTCTTCTTCAAATTACTAACAAAATCTAACAAACATGAATCAAGTGTAGCATGATTTGGCTTGTTGATAATTAAAATCAGGTACTTTTAAATGAAGCAATGCAACTAACTATAAAAGCGATAGGTGCAAAAACGGGAGTATTGTAGTTTCTTTTAGATACTTTATTAGGACCATTAATTCCATGCTCTTTTAAAGCTAAAATGAATGGTGAAGGTAAGTACACAAAGGTAGAAGCTAGAGAAGGAACCTCAGATATGCTATCACTGAGAGTGTTGAAGAATTCATTGTAACGTCCACGACCAAGCAAAGAAAACCACACGTGAGGCTTTGAAATACTTAATTCTTTAAATTCTGCTCTGTATTCGACAAGAATTGATTTTACTTGCTTAGACAGTTGAAGCTCCGTGTCACATTGAACAGAAATACTTCGAAGATTTGCAAGGTTGCTAAACAATGGCGCAAGCTCACGCCAATTATTATTCTCCATATCCACACAAAACGGGTTAATGTAAGATAGGAGATTCATTGTTGGTGACATCCAAGACCGAATGATAGAAGGAAAAATATTGTGTGACAATCCTTCAAATCCACTTAAGGATATATATCCAATGCATTTTGAGCTTACAATTGAAAAGGGCACTTGTTTCACTGCTTTATATTCAGCAATTAGTGTTATCAAGGATTCCATCTGCACTATATCTTCTTCCAAAATGTCAATCTTGGCACAACCAGACAGGATGAGAGTTTTTAAAGACTTCAGCTTATATACCTCTTTGGGGAGATTGCTAAGACTTATACAGTCCTTCAAATTTATCAGTAGAAGATTGCAGAGATCTCCTATGGATTGGTGTACCTTGCACAATCTTGGACAATCTTTGAGAATGAGCTGTTCAAGACTTGGTAGTCCCGAAAAATTAGGTGATTCTTTCAAGTACTTGGAGTGACTTAGATTGAGGAATTTTAGCCACCCTAAAACCTACAAGAAGATGGTGTTTTTGAAAATGATTAGAGAGGAAAATAAATAAAAAAAAATGCAATAACAATGAAAGATGATGCAAATTCTAGAAAAATTAAGAATATGAAATCCAAAAAACTACTAATAGGGACTCCACGTCAGAAATTTCTAGAATTACTAAAATAATTTAGAAAAGTAAGTTAAAGATGTATTATTAAAGGTAGATATATTTCAAAGCTTCTAGGGATTCTTATTAGTAGCTTTTGTCAAGGACTTCTAAAATCAATTATTATCTTCTTTCATTCAAATTTTCTCCAACTTACCCATCTCTTCCTAAAAACTAATTACTATATCAAACTCACTATTAAACTTATATCCTGCTGTATCCATGTTAATACAAGATAACAAATCATCTTTTCTATTCTTCCTAAGACACTAATCAATATTTATAACTGAAATCAATTATAGTATTTCTATTTTGACTAACCAATGAGCTTTAGAAGAAAAAAGGCACGTAATGTATACCCGTGGTTCTTTCCAGACTCGTCGAAGATTACTGCATTTCAAATGAATCGCAATCACACCTTCCATATTACAGTTTTGAGGTATATGTTTTAAAGGAAACCCTCGATGACAGATCCACCTTAGTTGCTTAGAAAGGTTGGGATAGTCTCCAGTGATTAGTAGAGAGTCAAGCAGTCCCAATATCAGCTTGTCCTTGAAAGCACAAATTTCCAACGAAGATTCGATGGGTAATGGTGACTTCAGAACCCATCCCTGAATGGCTTCTGATCCCTGTGATGGAACGAGCAAAGAAAAACAATTGAGAAATCCCTCAATAGCAGAGCATAGCTACACATGTATAGTACATTAAAAATCGCAGACTTTCAAAACCGTGTAAAAAGAATATTTCTTACCATATTCTTTGTCAATAAAAATGTTGCATCCTCAGTAAACCATAGTCGGTTGCGCTTCTCACGTTCCGTAGTTGAACTTCCAAGAATAATATCTATTCCCATGTCTCGCAACAAATGATGCATGCCGAGCTTATTGTTCTTTTCAACTTTGAGGAGGCCACGTTCTATGAGAACTGTTATTCCTTTATCAGCATGTAGTCCACAGCCATTCAGTATCTCTGTAACATAGCCTCTGTCTTTACCAATAAAGAAACAACATACATCAAGAAATATATCCTTTTCCATGTCACCGCCCAAACCGTCTAAACATATTCTCAATTTCTCTTTAACTTGAATATTGGGAATTATTTCTAGTTTTGACAAAACAATTTTCCACTCTTTCTTTGTCCTCTCACTTAAATAAGAACCAAGGACCTCAAGAGCTAATGGTAGTCCTCCACAATTAGCAACTACCTTTTTTGCAAGCCCATTGAAATCTTCTATTGGTTTTTCTTCTCTAAAAGCATGCCAACTAAAAAGCTCAAGGGAATCATTTTCGTTCATATTACTCATTTTATAAACATAATTAACATTGAATCCGTCCAGTAGGTTAACGTCTCTAGTTGTAATGATTATCACAGTTCCTTGACCAAACCATTTACTATTTCGACATAGGTCTTCCAATGGGCGAAATGGATTGGCATCATTAAGTACAATGAGCACCCTTTTCCCAGAAAATCTTTCCTGAATCATACTTGCTCCCATCGCAACGCTCTTTATCTGGACCTTTGTTTTTAGGACATCTGAAAGAAGTTTTTCTTGGAAATGAACATGCCCTCTTCGACAAATTTCTGTAACATCTTCAATGAAACTTTTATACATGAAGGTACCATGAATTTTGTTGTAGACAGATTTGACAAGGGTCGTTTTACCCAATCCTCGCATTCCCCATATCCCTATGATACTGACTTCGGTGGATTTATTTTCAATCATTCGGGTCACATTTTCCACGTGGAACTGCAATCCAACTGGAAATTTAGTAGCAGACAAGACTGGTAAATTAAGAACGCTCTTAACAATTTTGTCCACTAGGTCAGCATCACTCCTTCAGGTTCAATAGCAATTATATTACCAAAATGAAATCACAGGCTTAAAATAAGATTCATTGAGTGAGTGATTTACCTGTAATTGCTCTCATCCCATCCAAAGAAATTTGCTGCTTTGGTGAGTGCACGGCTCCACCTGGACAAGGCATCTTCCACTTGTTGTCCTGAAAATGTTTGTTTTGCGGTTGCTTTCAAGGATTTTCCAAAATCACCCTTCTGAAGGCGTACATCAGATGGCTGAATTTCGTAATATACAGGCAGAACGTGTCGGCAATAAGTATCGTGCCATTTGATGATTTGTTGAAGCTCATGAAGACACCAAGCAGATTCAGCGTAGGTTTTGGTGAAAACAACTATTGCTACGCGACACATTTCTTTCGCTTGCGTTTGCTGTTCTTGGATCTGCATGACTTTGACTTCCTGGTGAAGGAAAGTGGTCAACCCAGTAGCTGAGAGGGCAGAATCGAGATGAGAAACGAACTTCCTACGGATGTCTTCTCCGGTAAAGTTGATGAGCACATCGCATGAAGACAACGCGAATTCCATAAAGGAACTGATCAGGGCTTCAACTGTTAGAAGTGAAAGCAATAATGTGATGGAGTGCCATCACCTTTAACTTTATCTTCTTTTATATATTTTGACCACCCATTCGTAAACTTGGACATAATTTAATTATAATATATAACATAGGTTTAAAAAAAATATGAAAAAGTAATCCGTTTTAAAATCTTACAAATATAGAAATTTATTAAAAACATTTCTAATTTTAAAAATAATAAAAATAAAGATTATATTACTATTTATTCAGGTCAGATAGATTATTTCTATCAACACAAAACCATCCAAAATATTAATTTTTTGGGGTTGATTTAAATACAATCATCCATAAATATATAACTAGCGGACAATTAAGTATATTAATATAATATTCATAATATGATTTATATAGAAAAAAATTTATTATTATATTAATAAATGAAATCATTAAATAGATGTATAGAATAAAATAAGTTGTTAATGTGTTTTTTTTAATATATTTTAATAGTCAGCGCGTGAAAATCATCACATAAGACTTATATATATATATATATATATATATATATATATATATATATATATATATATATATATATATATATATATATATATATATATAAGTTGACATGCAACTATCCAGGTGACTCTAGTGTCATTAACTGACTCCATTTGTGACTTCACACACTCAGAGAATCATACAACTATGTAGGGTGAGATCTTCTTTCTTGTTGTCAATTATTATTGCACATATAATAATGCCTAGCATCATCATAAATAAATATGTATATGGTGTGTAACTAAGATTAAAAAGTGGCATGTAATTTGTTATAACTATATTGTATGTTGGATTAATCTATCATCCTTGGTGATTGGTGGGCGTATGACTTTAATTAGTTAAGCATGCATCAGTCAACATGCTTTTCACTTAGTTTTACATACCAAATTGGCTTTAGATTAACTTTAACTCGACATGTAATTTTTGGATTTTTAATTACTCTTCAATTCAAAGGTTAATTTCATCTTAGATTGAATTTTATAACATATAAACCAGATTTGTTGTGCACAAATCCAAGAATAGTGCAGTAAAATGTTTCACCTCAAACGTCCATAAAATCCCCCTCAATTAAAGACCAATTACATCAAAATCCAAAAATTAGATTGGATTTTATAAGGAAAAAAAAAATCAGCCTGTTATGCACAAACCCATGAAATTAGCTTTGTGGACTCCTAATTTTTATTTTTATGAAGTTATTTAAAGAACAACTTGTTAAAATATTCCAATATCCACCCATAGGCACGAATTTAGTTTCACTCAATTTTGAGTATCAAATATGCTTCAATCATTCGATCCACCGTTTAAATCCACAAAGTTAAAGTAATGTTTTAACATTATCAATTTTATTATTACATGATTGACTCAATCCACCGTTAATAAGTTAAACTTTAACTAAATCAATTTTATTATTTTGTGATTGTCTTAATCCACCATTAATTGACTGTGATATGCATATCCATCTAATTTTTAACTTAATCAATTTTATTACTATGAGATTATCTCAATCCATCATTAGTTAATTGTAGTTGTCCATATTTATTGATTAAAGTAATGTTTTAACTTAATTAATTCCATTATTAGATGATTGTTTATAATAATGTGATTGTTCATATCTACTAATAAAAATAATACTTTACCTTAATCAATTTTCTTATTATATGAAATATTGATTTATTATTAAGCGATGTGATAACATTTTGATTATATCGATCCACTGGTTAATATAATGATTTAACCTAATCAATTTTATTTATATGTGATCGAGTTACTTATCCCCTCATTAAAGTTACGCTTTAATTTAAATTATTAGATCACTGGTTGAATTTCTTCTTATTCCTTAGAAGTCATGCTTTACCTTAGCAAACTCATTATGTATTAGTGTTAATGTTTGATCCTAGTTAAAATATCCTTTAATCTCATTTGTTATGACATTGATATTAGGTCCATTCTTATGACATATATTCGATGTGAATCCAAGTCTTATTTATTTTTCTGTACTAATTACGATGCTAATACAATATTTATGGAACTTGTATTTTTAGTATTTTGAGTCACTTTTATTTAGGAACTAGAGTAACGACATAAAAACTCAACTAAAATAAAAGATGAAAAAAGAGAAACAAAATCGACAATAGACTATAATAGAATTTTACTACGAAAAGAAATTACACTACCATTCTTAAATCTTAGGAAAAAATAATAATAATATTTTCTCTAAGAAATTACAGAACTCAACTACTATACAATGCACTAGTAGAAAAGAAAAAGAAGAGATTTGAGGTAATTTACAAGGTAAATACTGTGTTTCTTTTATAACAAGAAAATTAAGCATCACCATATAATTTTTCTGATGTGAGACTTCTTTTTTCATATTCTCCCACTAGAAGATTTTGTTTAAATTAATCAAATCTTCACAATATATTATTATTATCTTCCATGTTGTTATTTTTGCAATAAACCTTCAATAGAATTGTCTCTATGTAAACTTGTCACTACTAACCGACTGTCATAATATCTGTTAGGTTCTTCTTGTTTTGTCCTGAAATACAAGGCAAAATTTCTTACAATGTGTAAGACACTAACTATCAAAATACACAATAGTCTGTTGTTGCTTGTGTTTGAGTTCCTCCATTATCCTTTTAATCCAAATAGTTTCCTTACATGGGTGACTACCATGTACTTAGCTTTTGTGATAGACAAAGCTATAACATCTTATAACTTAGATAACCAGTTATTGTCTTTCCAACAAAGATAAACTCATCAAGATCACCTGTAAAACTTAAATAAACATAGCATCTGACAACTAGTTTTGATCCTCCGAAATATAATACAAATCCAGGATTCATTTGATAAGGATTCTCTTGATAATACGCATGCTTTCCACCATAATTTACCATTAGTCTACTAACCGCTCCCACTTCTTGTGTAATGTTTGGTTTTGTACTGGTATTCATAAGACTTCTCATTATCGATGTATACAGTACTCGAGACATTTTCATCCTCTCTACTTCATTACTAGGACTCATACTTAGGATAACTTGATAGAAAATGGGATAGAAACTGGATTACACCCTTGCATGTTGAAGCAATACAAGACCTTTAGTTAGTAATTCTTCTGATAAAGCCAAACCTTCCTATCTTTTATGTCCCGGTGAATTTGCATCCCTAAAATCTTGTTTGTTGGTTCCTAGTTCTTCATATCAGACTTCCTAACCAACTATCCCTTCAAACCTGGATTCGAATTTTGTTGGAGCCTACTGTAACATCCTAATTCTTAGTACCTTTAAAAATTTTGTCAAAATTTTAATAATTAAATTATTAGGAATTGGGGAAAGTGACTATAGAGTTTTATGTTTGTTAGATTATTTGTGATTTTTCAGAATTTTTTTTTTAAATTAAAAAAAATAATAATAATAAAATAATAAAAAAATAATAATATATCTTAAAATTTAGATTTTGACTTTGAAAGCAGACACTCACTCTGCAACTTCCCGTGACTTTTACCTTTCTCTCATTTCTCGCTTTCTCTCAAACCTTCCTCACTTTGAAGTTTGATTTTGAGGGGGAAATATTGATTTTCTTGAGAAACTCCAAGAGGTAAGTTGGTTTATCTCAATCTCCTCTACATTTCTACCGTTTTATTTTTCAAAACGGTGCATTTTCAATTTTTTTCCTCACTTGGTTAAGCTTGAATGGGAGTAAAAAGAGTGTTATTGTAGGTTTTACACCTAAGACACTAGAATAATACTTAGAATTGAGGATTAGAAGTGATTAAGCTAAAAACCTTAAGCACCCTAATTCGTAAGTCACTGTTCATTAAATTTTGGGACGTTTGTGAACAGAATTAGGAATTAGTATCTTCATAAAAGTTGTATCCCTTTAAGTTATAGAAATTTAGAAACTTGTTTCACATCAAACAGATATTTGTAGCTCAAGTTATGTTTATTTTACTGTCAAGTGCTATAGCTGTGAAGTTAAGAGGTTGCCCTGTTTCAACAGCCTCGGTTTTTGAATTACTGGGATTGATACGTGTGAAATTAGGACTTGATTTCTTCATAAAAGTTGTAGTAAATTATATTTCCGAAATTTAGAAATTTGTTTCATGTCAATAGCTTATGTGTAGCATGAGTTATAGTCAAATTACCAAGGCATGTTCAGAGTGTTATTGTAGTTGAGCCATGTTGGAAACAACCACTGTAAACTGAAAAACTGCATTTATTCTACAAGGTATTTGAATTTATTTCCTTCATCAATATTGTAGGTAATTAAGTTATTGAAATTTTGACTCTTACCTCATGCCAAAACAGTTTTTATAACTCTAGAAAATTCTGAAATACTGAACCTTGTCCATATTTGTTATTAGGATTCTTCCTACTCTAAGTGTATTACTTGCATTACTCTCTTCTACTTGTATTAATTCCATTAGCATCAATTTAGGCCCTAGAAATGATTTTATAACTCAAAGAACCATAGTCTTGAATTTTAGAATTTTAGGCTATGAAGGAGGTGAGATTTTAGAGGTCTAATATGGTTGGAATTAAGGATTTAATTGGGGTATTTAATTGGCATGTAGGAGACTACTTAGAGGTGCAAAGAGGAGACCCAAAGACTTGATAGATTATTTGATCAAGAGTTACTCTTCACCAAGTTACAACATAAGGTAAGGGGTAGGATAACTTTTATAATTCATTTTTTCTTGAAATAGCATTGAGAAGAAGTCCCTTACTTCTAAGTTAATTAGAAATTTATTTGGAATTATTTGAATGTCATTTTTATTTTT